AAATAGAAAAAGCAGCAACAATTATTATTTTGAAAACAAACAAACAAAGCAGAGGAAAACACTTTTTTTTTTTAGAGAGGTTTTTAAAAATATGTCATGGCAAGTATATGACAGCCATGTTGGTTTATTATCATATGGAATTTTTATTTTCAGAACAGATTGTGGCAGTCTGGTGTGAACATAATGTATTTTGAGGGAAGGCCACATTGGGAGTCTGCTCATAGACACGCATATGCTTAACGTATGTTCTTTCTTAAGAAATGCACCCTTGTAAAACCAGATTTGTACACAATATGAGGACAGGAGTCCGTTATAGGATTCAATGGTCCCTTTTTTAACCTTCAGACAGGATTCAACATGTGTTAACAGATGATGTGATTTACACAGTTCACCTCAGAACTAAACAGTTGGAATCCCTGCAGCCATCTTCCCAATCATCCCTCCTCTAAAAGAGGAAAGTCTAGTCTATAAAAACTTCTAATACTGGATGACTTATCTGTTTTAAGTTTAACAGATACACAAGAAAAAATATGTTAAAAATAATGCAGTATAATTTGTCTTGAAACAGGTCAGAGGAACTGAAACACTTTATGGGTAAATAATATGGCAGACGTCTTATTGAATTTTATTAATATTGTACGGTGAAACACTGACATCAGCAAACATTTTATCGTCAGCCATAATAATTCATATGGTATTCCACATTTATAAAGTTAGTGATTACACACCTATCCAATAATAAACCTTCTCAGACTAAATAGTTGCTGATTTTCTTATTCAGCGTAACAGGGTGTCTTTTTCTCCAAAAGTTACTCAAGTAAATGTCACAAAGTAAATTTAACTAATAACTGTGTTGTCTGAAAATTTAGATTTCTCTTCTATTATATATTAATTTATCCTAATTATTCACTATAAAAGTTTTCACTCAGGCTGCTTCCCCTGTGTAGATGGAAGTGTCTAAAATGCAAAATTAAAATGGGGTGGGGGACGTCATCAGAAAGTGGGGCCCTCCAGGGCATTGTTTGGGGGAGGTGGGGGTCAAGAGCACCCGGGGGGGAGCTTATTTCATGGGGCTCACCACGGTCGGCTCCCCCCACCCCCTCTTGCATTTAGACATTGAGGGTTCTGGGTTGTCGATTGGGCACCACCGCCTGTCTTCCGGAGGGGAAGTGGACTGTGCTGGACACCCCCTTTTGGTACTCCCAGTTTTAATTACACCTGAGAGCAAAATGCAAAAACACCACATTTGAGCAGGCGCAGGGATGATCGGGGTCTTCTCACACCCCTGTTCTCCCGGAGTCTGGGGTCTGGAGAAAGAGCGAGCCACCTGCTCTGTGGTCTTGGCAGGGGGGCTGCTTCGGGGCCTGGGTGGCCTGCCTGTGCTGGGGCTGTCACTTCTGCTCTCCCCAAAGGAAGTTGGAGGGAGGGGCGTGTAGTGGCTGGGTGAATTAGTTGGGGGGGTGGGG